ATACTAATTAACGTTTTTAATTTATACTCGAAAATGATTTTTAACTATTTGTTTCTCGTATAAATCGGCAGTTCGCTTTTATTTGTTTCCAAGCATTGTGTAACAGCTTATATTTATATATCAAACAAATCCCGTTGTATTTTTCTGATATTAGTTTAGTTTACTTTTTTCATTAGTATTCTTACTTATTCAGTTTAATTTATTGATTCCCCCCATTGTATCGTAAGTTATTTCCTCATTCAACTACATTGTCGTTCAATGTTCTTTCTTGCAGTTTTGTGATAAAAGCTTTTTTTAATCCTTTAGCATTTTTTAAAATTATTTTCCTTTACTTTAAAAACAGATTTTGATTATATTTTCATTGCATTGCACTCCATTGCATTTGCATGTTTCAAACAGCAATATTAAATACAAAAATTACAATAAAAAGGGGAAATATAAAGAAAAAAATACATTTTTAATGACACTGAAAAGTTGGTGAAACTAATCCTAGTGTCAAATTGCTAAGATTTCACTGCTGAGGGAAACGAAAGGAATTTACGAAACCCCACAGTTGGGAGGCGCGCAGGGATAAATCTTTTAAGTACTGGGAGGCGCGAAGGTCACATCGCATAAATGGAAAGGGAGGTTATTCGGACAATGACTATCTCCGCACCCTGAAGGCTGGGGGGAGGGGAATTCGCTGGCCGACATTTCGGCCACAGCCGTCTTTTTGAGACGCTACAGCTCTGGCCGATATTTAGGCCACCCGTCTTTTAAAGGTTAAATATTAGAAACTTTCAGGTAAATTTAGAAGCAGAAACTCTCTAGCTAGTAGAAATGAAGTGTAAACAAGTCGACTTCTACAGTAGTTGTTTTATTGAAAGTTCCTAAACAGAAAACTAATATCTTCAAATCCTTTATGCTCAGTTTGAAACTTATTACAGTTACCTGATGAATGAATGATTTTTCACTATCCCAGTCTAGCAAACATCTACAATTTATGAATTCATTTTTTGTTTTGAATTTTAATTAAAGCAGTACACAAAAGTACATGGTTGCATTTACCATTAGCATAAGCACTAAAATTATTATTTTCACAGTTGTTCACACAAACAGTTGAAGAAACCTCACTCGAAATTTTGTTCCATTTTTATTTGCTATTTGAGAACAATGGATTCTGCTGAAGGGACATCAGATGCATTTTTTGGTTTTAAATTATTTTCTAGGTGCAAAATGCTGTATGATATTTAAAACAATATTTAGAAGTTTATGCATTCATACACATTTTAACTTTATGGACATTAGACAAGCAATTAAAATAAAGTTTATTAGTCTCAACAAACTCTATTCGTTTTTGCACTGGTCAGTCTAAAAAATTAGAACACTTCAGTAAAAAAAATTATCTTCTTTACAAAATAAGCAAGAAAAATTAGTAATCAGAGAAGTAACCCTATTATATAATGGTTTATGTATTTTATTAATTAACATTTACGCTTCTGTAATGTTTTATCATAATTCTTCAGATATTCTATAAAATCACTGAACTTCAGTATTTCATCTTTTTCTAACACTTCTACTGCAACTTTGTTAAAACATCAAGTTTTTGTTAAATCATACACATCAACATAAGTATAAATAAAATTCATAAGTATAAATAAAATTATTTTTTGATATAATATTTCCAACAAGCGAGTTATTTTGTTTACATTATCTATAAATTTAATATCACAGATGCAGATTCTGTTTGTATTTGCAAAACATTAAGAATTCTTTTAATGTAAGCAAATATCTGTTCTCTTTTATTAGAAAATCTCTCTTCTACTAAATTCCAAGCAATAGTGATATTTCGATCAGCTACAGACATTAACTGAATAATGCGATAAGAATCGCTTTTCAAAGAACCTTTCAAATATTTTAGTTTTTGAGCTCCAGAAAAGATTGGGATTGTTGCGAACACTGGTGCTAAATAAATCTTTAAATGTTATCCATTGTGTTAAATTTCCGCTAAATATGGGCAAAGATAATTTTGACAAAACTCTCAGTGATTGGTTACAGTATGATACGTTTATGACCATTTATATTTATGACTTTTTTTTTTAACTTATGAATAATTTTTAATTGAACCTCATCAGTTTTCTCTAAAATCAACTGTTATTCCTCAATGATAGTGTAGTTTATCATTATCACATTGTGTATAAATTTCATTAAACATAGATTTGAAATCTTTTTTGAAAATTTTACACTCTTCTTAAATTTATTCTCCTTTAGTATTATCTAAGCCATCATAATCTCTTTTCTCATTTCTCAATTTTGTTAACTCTGTGTTTAAAACTTTTTTTCCCTTTTTTTCTGTGTTTGACATTTTGAAAATGTTCTAAACTGCCAATTTTACAAATACTTCAACAAAAATAAAGAAATGTCAAATGCAATTACAAATGCATTAAATCTGTCACTTACCTCATACATTAGTGTAACTCTCAGCTATTTGAATCTATTCCAAATGAAAATGCAATGTCAGAAACATTATGAAGACTAAGCAAAATACCTATTCATATGTGTGCCTTTTTCCCATTCTTAGAGTCAGACCAGTATGTTTTATGAGGTTCCCTCATGTTAAATTAATAACAGTAAGAGCAAATACCATAGAAATTGGACTGTAGAGTCATCGAGCTTTAATTCTGCATTAAGCATTCTGATGACCAAAACACATATACAGACAGTTATACACAAATATTTTCAAACAATTTCAATAGTAAAGCAAAATTTATATTTTTAAAATTTATTAAAAATTAATTTGCTTTACTACATCATTTACAATAGTTACCTAGTTTTTTTAGTTTCTCAACATTTTTGGAAATAATTGCAATGTTTGGCTTCATTTTTTAGGTGAGGGGGAAATGCTGCATTTATATTTTTTGTTCCTAACAATTTAAAGTTCAGTATAATCAACAATACATATTGATGTAGCTTTTAATTTAAACCTTTAGCTATTAGAATAGAATTTGAAGTATGCATAGCAGCAGATTTTGGAGATGAGAAATTGTTAAAATAAACAGAATGGTCCTTAGCATATAAAGAATTTTGGCCAGTTGTGCAGTTATTCCATGAACTTTCTGCACAATCTTTAACCACTGGGGTCTTTAGAGAGATTTTCTGCCCTAAAAGCTTCACACAAGTATTTCTGTGTAATCAGAATAAATAATATATTAGTCTTCACAACTAGGCTGTCAGGGGTGAAGAATGTTCTACATTCTAGCATAATATCAGCCATATAAATAAATGAAATTTCAACAACAGGTCCATGGTAGCTAGTTAAAACACATTTAATCCGTTTTGTAAATCCTAGGTATTTCTGTTTTCCATCTTCTCTCAGTCCAAACATTTAGAATATAAGATGTTTGTGTTTCTGGAAAAATAAAACTGTCTAAATATATCTGGTGTTAAGTACTTACATAGTCTAAAGAGTTTTTAATTTAGGTAATCTCTGACTGATATATTTTATCTAAGACGAAATTTGAGAAAGATGATAAGTGCTGTATTTGAGAAAGTAAAAAATCTAGTATTCCGGCTATATCCAGACCACAATCACCTATTTAAGGATTGTAATATCTTTAATATTCCATCATTTTATAAAATATTACTGCATCATTTCATCAGACAAGTTCAGGGGTAACAATCATTGGATTGTATCATTGGAAAAACCTTATCATCTTTATTTTTACAGCCTGCTGATAATTTATTCTGTTGATACAACTTTTCATCTTTTGCACTTGCTGACTACACTTGAAAATCTTTATTTTGTAGCTTATGATTAATAAATTAACTAAACAAATTATTAATAAATAGTAGTTATTCACATATTCAGAATGAAAGGTGAAGCTCAGATTTACTTGCAAGGACATTAAAATCATTTTTCGTTTGATACACATAAAGTTTTATTTCAAACTAATTATTAAACTTATTAAATTACATTAATTATGTACAGAAATTTTTAAGAATTTTTAAAAGTTGTCATAAGCAGGCTGTATACATTGTGTCTTTAACTTCAAATATGTTTTAGCTATAAAATAAAATTTAGTCCATTTTTTAAAATTAATGTTGATATTTCTACATCTTTAATTTTGGAAATAATGGATATTGTCAGTAAAATGATTTATACTTACAAAAACATTTTATTATATTTTTCACATAAAAAATCTTGAGCATCAAAATCAAATATTAAAACTAAGAAAAATAAAGAATTGACAATATTTAACCAATATTTTAAAATTCAATTGTAGATTTAAATTCTAAACAACTCTTCCCAGTAATATTTTTGTACATTTTTATAATTAAGGGTACTTTATTTTGAAACTAACACCAGAAATTTGATTACTATAGCCGTACTGTATGATCTAAAATTTATATATAAGAATTTTTAGAAGCTTCAGGTACTTAGGTATTCACTATTAAATTCCTATCTATCGGATGAAAAATAGTACTAAAAATGTAATATTAGTAAGCAGCATGAAATAAAATAATTTATGAGCAATGTCACCTGACAACGCTACCTTAGAATGTACACTCTGCAGAAAAAAGGAGGGAGGATGATTTTGTCTCTAAGATTCTACTCAGCCGATTGAAAAAATTAACGTGAATTTTTCATCTCTCAAAAGCTCAATTTAAGATATATATTAGGCTTATATATAGCATTGTTCTAACACAGGCATTTTGACACAAAATCTGACGTTTTCTGAAATGACATGCCAATATTTTTCCATATTTGGATTCTACGACTCGGATTATGGGCTTATTCACGAACAACTCAATATTTGACAGAAAACGAAAATCACGTGCAACACTTTGTGCAGGAATGAAATGCAAAATTACTGCAGTTAAACATCTATGAATAAAACCTAAAAATTATCAGATTATAAAAAATATTGGTAAATATAATAACTAAAATATTTGAATATGAAATATTTACATAGATTAGAATATGCTGATATCAAAAACTACCTTAAGAAATCTGGATTTACCTCTGGGTCATACTGAAATAAGTATAAAGGAGGATCTGGAGCGACAGGAACTCCTCCATCTAACAAATCAGAAACTTCTATAGGTACACTGCCGAAAAAAGATTCAATAATGCCAGCTGTTTGTTGAGCTCTTGGTAGGCATGAAAAGTACATTTTTTTTAAGTTCACCCCGATATCACGCAAACGACTGCCAGTTACTGAGGCCTGAGTTTCTCCTGTAAATACATTATGCAGTTATGATATAATTTCAGTCACATCACCTAACTCACTGTCTGGAAATAAATTAAAAAGGAAATGTACTGGAACAGAAAAAGATTCACAATATGAGTTTTTCTGCAGCAAAACATTCTTATGCACTGAAAAAATTACTAATCTATGCATACAATATGTTTTTAAATAAACAGGAGTAATTTATACATATTAATACAAAATTCATCAAAGAAACTAATTTTAATACTAAACATTTTTTGAACACTAGAGGTGAAATATTTCTTCCATATGAAAATTTTGATAAATACTTTGTTAATATTGCAGGCACTATAACAAGCATTTGTTACAAAACAACATCAAAAGCCTTAGTAAAAATTCGACATAATTTCAATCAGAATATTAATGCGACACTTTTCAAATGCTTTTATTATCGAAGCAAGAAGTATGCTTTCTTATTCATCAAAAGCTAATTTCAGTTTTATACAATAACTTACTTTTTTTCTTTTTAAACATCTTAAAAAATATTTGCTAAGTTTAGCTTGTTTTTCAGAGGTTGCAGTTTTGGAAATTTCCGTGTTTAAAGACAATTTTTTTTTTCTTTGCTAACAACTGAAAGTTCAGTATGATCAACAAGACATTTTAATGTAGACAATAACCTTTACGTATTAGTTTAAAACATAATGTACGTACATACAAGGTGATGCAGATAGGGAACCGTGGTAAAAGTGTAGAATTGGGTGCCCCTTGTTTTTTTGATGATTCTTTTTTGACGCCAATATCGGTGCCAAGAAGGTACAATTTTAAGATGGCCGCCACGCAAAACCAAAATAAAAACAGAAGACACCATCAGTTTTGAAATTATTCCTAATGATATTTCATATTTCACATTTTATAAGAATGTTAATATTTTTAAGAATAATAACATCCAACACTTACTTGAATACATTAAAACAAGTTTTTACGTTATGGAAACGAATAAAATTTATGTAATATTAACAATGTATAAAAGCTTAGAATACACTGTGTAAACAAAGTTGCGAAGGCGGAGCTAATTGACGTCCATAAATGGGTGGGACTAAGCTTGTGATGTTACAATGTATTCTCTCATAGCCAGAGTCGACTGTGGTATTCTCTATAGATATAAAAATAAGTATAAAAATTGTTTATATTTCAAATTACCATGATACAGTAAGTGAATTCTACCAATTATTAAAACTGTAAACAACGTTCTTACAAATTACCTTATTGCTACGTAACGGCACAATCTTCATTATTATCTAACAGTTTTAAACTTCACATTAATGAAAATAAGAAAAATATATTTATTACACATCAGAATCATACACAGCTTTCATATCACTGTTTCTTAAATTCCTTAATCTCGTCATATTCTCTATAGGCATACTATAATTCTAAAATTAGTAAATAAAACGTATATTTTCTCACAATGAAGAGGAAATAAGAAAATAAATACTACAAATTTGGAACACTAAGCAATGTTTTTCACTCACAGAATCAATGAATTCATATTATCAAGTGCAATTACGATAACACTGCGTATTAAAATAATAAGTTACTTTTAGGGTCAAAGTTTACAGTTTTGCTACTGTTGAGTAAATCGTCGGACTATCAACATTTATCGTAAGTCGGAAAACATTATCAACATATAAAAACCAAGGAATTAAAAATAGAATTTAACGAAAAGTTAACTAAAATATAATTTACAATTAAAACAAATTTCATATATACAAACGATATATTAACCATTTCACATAAAATATATCCCATTACTGCACGGCATCACACACAGCCTCGCTTTGCCTATGTGCAAAATTATCTACATTCACTCGAAAAACATTAGTTACACAAACTCGGTGTCCCTGTGCATATCGATTTATTTTCACTTAAAAAACATCTGAGAATTGCACAAACTCGGCATCGTGCACAACCTCAGCATTGCACACTCCCTTGACTTTTCCCATGTGCACATCGATCTATTTTCACTTAAAAAACATCCCAGAATTGCACAAACGCGGCATTGCGCACTCCCTTGACTTTTCCCATGTGCACATTGATCTATTTTCACTTAAAAAACATCCCAGAATTGCACAAACTCGGCAATGCACACTACCATGACTTTTCCCATGTACACATCGATCTATTTTCACTAAAAAAACACCAGAGAATTGCACAAACTTGGCATTGTGCACTACCCTGACATTTCCCATGTGCACATCGATCTATTTTTCACTTTAAAAAAATTCCAGAATTGCAGAAACTCGGCATCACACACAACCTCGGCATTACGCATTACCATGACTTTTCCCATGTGCACATCGATCTATTTTTCACTTAAAAAAACATCCGGGAATTGCACAAACTCGGCATTGTGCACTCCCTTGCCTTTTTTCATGTACACATCGATCTATTTTCACTTAAAAAACATCCAAGAGTTGCACAAACTCAGCATTGCGCACTACCTTGACTTTGTCCATGTGCACATCGAACAATTTTCATAAAAAAAATCGAAGAATTGCACAAACTTGGCATTGCGCACTACCTTGGCTTTGCCCATGTACACAGCGATCTCTTTTCATGTAAAGGAAATCACACAGATGAATAAACATTTATAATAAAAGAAAATCGCGCAGTAACATTATAAACATAACATTTCAACTCAGTTAAAATATAACTTACGTTTTCTTCAAATATGAAGCTATAGCATAACAAATTGTTTTTAAAAAGAAGCATAGGCAAGATTATGATATAAAACACATATCCAAGCCTAAGATAAGTAAACAACGAGACTTGTGCAACATCTTCTAGAATTGAGCCTGATGATGTAGTTTACAATTCGTAAAATATAGAACTTACCTAGATCGCTACTTCGACATCTCTTCGGCACCGTCGAAAAACTGCGGCACATGCAGATCTTTTATGCAATTCAAAAAGTCTCGGAACGGATCTGCTTCCACCTGATTTCTGTATTGTCTTCGCCACATAAACTCCGCAAACTAGGAATCAAAACTATCTTCTGACGATATCCGAACACTGTTCTTACGGAATTCGCACTTTATATTGCTCCACATACTTTCAATATTGTTTGTATGAGCACCAGTCGTAGGTTCAACAAAGTTGAACGAATGGTTAACTGATAAGTGCTGGAAACCTTCATTCTTCAAACAATCATAGGATTTCCAGCAATCTGAGATAATCATCGTCCCAGGCAGAATTTTTCGCCTTATAACCTCCAGCAAAGTCTCTCTCGATCTGTCTTCCACAACCTCAAAAAACCACTTTCCACTCTATCTTTCAATTCCACCAAACACCCATTTACTATTCACTCGTCTACCTCTATTATACTTCCTCGTACCGAACTTGCTTTCATCAATCTCCAAAACCATACCAGGACCTCCAATCATCTCACTCTTTTTCCACACATACATCCATACACACTTCTCTACAAAAATTACGCCAATCAACCACAGTTTTCATTCGATTTCATATTCACCTCATTCATAATCAGATTCGTACCAGATTCATACACCCCACAAATACGAAAATATTAAAATCTCAACCATACTCATATTACTCTCTTTCAAACCACGTGCCTTTCCTCACAGACCTCTTACAATGATGAGCATTCACACTTTTTTCACGGACAAACCCATTCGTAGCCATCCGATCTATCCTTCCTTTCAATCAAACGCATATCTTTCATACTACAAACAGGAACACAACGACAAACATACCGAGAACTAATCAACCTTCATGCATACACCAATCAATAATAGCTCTCTTACCATTTTTGCTCCAATCAAAAAAAAAAAAAAAAAAAAAAATGCATACTAATTTTTCCAGACATTCTACTTTGCTAGATAACAGAGAAAGATAGCGCTAAATATCAAGCGGGCAACTAACAGTAAAACGAAATGCTCACGCAATAAAAAATAAATAAATAAATAAATAAAATAAACCAATAAAATTTTAATTTAATTTTTACTTAAATTACTTACGCAGTCACAAAAACAACCAATAAAATTTACATTTAAGAAAGTCCCAATGATGACGTCATATCAGGTTGAAACAGAGTTACGGTAACCCTAAGGTGACGGTACGGATGCTGAAACTATGTTAAAACTATCGTGGTAACCAGAAATGGTGTTTTATCTCCAAAATTGAACAAAATTTTTTGCCAATCGAAGGGGCACCCCATTCTACACTAAAGCCGAGAACCGTTAGTAGAAAGAAAATAATTTGTGGAATATAAGGAATTTTGGCAAGCTGTCCACGTATTCAATAAATTACCCTTAAAGTCTTCACCGAATAAGGCTTTGAGAAGGATTTTCCGATTCCAAAAACTTCAAAATAATATTTCAAAGTCTTCACAGAGTCCAGGCTATCAATGTTCAAGGGTACTCTATGTTCTGTCACTATATCATATATATGAACCAACTTTTAAAAGCAAATCTACAAAAGCAAGATAAAACAGATTTAATCAGTTTTGCCAACAGTGAGTATGTGCATTTTCCATTTTTAGCCTAAATACTTCAGTTCAAAAGTTTATAATATCATTTTTTTTTTCTGTTTTTGTATAAGTTACTATCAATTTTTGATAGTTTAACTTCTTGACCTAACAGAAATTAGTTTTCTGAGATGACATTTGGCAGCTTATTTTCAATTTCTTCGAAATCCAAAATTTTTGATTTGAGAAAGTAAAAAATCCAGAATTCCAACTACATCAGGATAAGAATCAACTCTGTATAAAATAACTACTCTTTGCTTCACAAAAAACTTTTTTAAGATTTTCATATATTCTGACTGAATTTAATTGACTCAATTTTAAAATTGAATTAAAATCTCAAATATTATACAGTTATCATGGAATGCCGGATAAATTTATTCAATTTTTGAAGTAACATAGAAAAAGTATTGTAGTACACTCCCAATTAACTGGGTATTATACAGAAAAATGCTAAATTTATTTGTTATGATGGGCAAATGAT